CTATTTCTGGGATAAGAAAATCCTTAGTTTTCGAAAAATTTAAAGTTTAGTCAACAGGAAATTTATTAAAATGACCATATAATTGATATTCATGTCAACACCGAAGTGCTGACTACTGGGCTAGTGATACCCTCGGGGACGAAACGTCCACCAGCAGTGGCATCGACCCAGTGGTGTAAATAGTTATCAAAGGTACCAGGATTATAATTTAATACGCAAGACGCGCGTTTCGTCTACATAAGACTCATCAGTGACGCTCAGATCAAAATAGTTATAAAGTCAAACAAGTACAAAGTTGAGGAGCATTGAGGACAATTATTGACAATTATCAAATATCTTGATTAAAGGGCAATACACTGTATAAAGCGTCGTCCGACTAATTCGGTCATATTATAATTTTTGAAGATCTTCGATTGCTGATGATTTTTGAAGTTTAAATATTCTATCTGTCTATTATATTTTTTTTTAGGATAAAAGGACAAATACGTAAAAATAAGTCAAAAGTTATTTAAGGATAATAACTCCTACGAGGAGTCATCCAATTGTTTCGGTCATATTAGCATTTCCTTAGATCCGTTATTGTTGATCATGTTTACAGATTCTTTTTTCTATAAAAGTGTTTTTCAAGTTAGAAGCGAAAACTCAAAATTATTTTAAAAAATCTTCATTTTAGAGTCATGACTCCTATAAGGATAAGGAGTCATCTGATACTTCAATGGAAATTGGAAGTAGGTAGATCTTCACATTCTGAGCATTTTTATTCCTGTAAGTTTTTCTTTCTCTATGGTAGTTTTTAATAAATTAGACGATTTGATCATTTTACTCCTATGTTCTTTTCTTTTTAACCGTAGCGGCCATGTTAGTTGATTCGCATGAACAAAAACACAAACCTTATACAAGATACCCTAAGGATTATGCAATTAAAGTTGTGTTGAAATTAATCATGTGATGTCAGAAGAGAAGATGTCGAAATGTTTACGACGACAACAGACGACGCAAACCAAGTGACGACAATAGCTCACATGTCTCATAGGACTTGGTGGGATTACAAAACGCAAACATAAACTCAAAAAGACAATGTACGAATTAGACAAATCAAAAGCACCACAAAGACGAAAGGGTATATAAACCACGATACATGTGAAGGAAAATCTAGAAAAAGATTAAATCAAAGTTTGAAGCTATATGTTGATAATTGACATCATTATAATGTATAACATATTGAAAACCAAATCATCTCAACAGTCTTTGTTTGCATGCAATCATTGATCCTAAATACTTAGTATAGAACATACGTTATCACAATGGCTTCACTGATCACTGAACAGTCTGGTCTTTTACTAAGAATAAATAAGCTAATGACGAATTCGAAGCACTCTTTTTCCTGCTCTTTCTATTTTCTTGAAATGTGTAGTCATTCTGTATCTTAGCAATTTATATCCCGTTTCGCTTTGATTTTATCTGAATAATTCTAATACCTAGTAAAAGGATAGATGTCCATAAATCAGGTTTAAAACATTAAAATATATAATGATTAACTTTTTTTTAAATCAGTAAAATGTTATTTGGAATATTCCTGATCTTGTAAGATTAGTTTTATTTGGTGATCGTTTTCAAATGTAATGTTTTCAAGAATACAAAACCTGCGTTATTAAATTTCTCAAAGATTCAAGTAACAGATTTTAAAAATTATGAAGGCTCGATTTAAGCAAGCGAAAAATCAGAAGGTATAACTAAAAACTATAATAGCATATAAGACAAACACGTTTTTTTAAGCTAGCGAACAATTACAGAGAGCTGGCGAACAATTATGAAAATACATACAATCTTAAACAAAAAACAAAAGGATACCATACTCTATTTATAAAAAAAATATAAAGCTTGTCTTTCCAAAAGGTAAATAAATCCCTGTGTTTTGACTGAATAACATATAAACTTGAGATTGTCTATCATAAACCATTCTGGAGGGTTATTGTTCGATAGCTAGCTGTTAGCCTAAATTGTTCGCCTGCTTGAGTCAAGCAATATAAAGGGTTCTTACCATATTATTGAGGAAGTGAAAAATACAGTTACGTAGGATAAAGTTGTTAAAAATCAAACTGCATATTTTGTTTTTACTTTAAATCATATCTATCGGAAAAATCTATATTGTTTCTGAATATAAATTACAAAATGGTTTATGTGATAGTCTAGGAACACATAACCTAGGACTGTCAGCGTAGGTCACAATATGGCTAAACAACATACTTACCCACCCAAATAAAAAAACTGCAGGTGCATGTACACACAAGACACCATATACGATTACAGGTGAACGAATAAACCGGAAACGGATATATGAAAAATGAATATCCACATTCATTTATTTTATTGGCAAAAAAGAACTCTTATAAAAGTCCGAGATAAATCTTTTAGACAACTTTCTTTTTTTTTTTTTTTTTTTTGACTTGCAAGGCAATCTCGGACTTAACAAAATTTGATATGGTTTCAGATCCAAAGGAAGGGTTTAATATATTGCTTCGAATCCGACAACGATGATATTTCCAAGAGGTAAAAGTCGGTAATGCTCCAAATTATGCAAAGGCAACTATACATAAGCAAAGTCTATGGTCATTTTGACACTTTCACTTGATAGCGATTGATCAATTCGTGAAGGTGACCGCAACAGTTTTGTGGCATGATATCATTTCATGTTGAAAATTATCCCAAGTTATCAAAAGCGGCTGTGGTAGTTTTCTCTAAAGACAGGTACTGTAATGCAGAAGCATATCATTAGTGGAAAGTAAAAGAACAAAAAACTACTCCAAAGAAAATTCAAAACGGAAAGTCCCTTATCAAATGGCAAAATCAAAAGCTCAAACACATTAAAAGAATAGAAAACAACTGTCAAATTCCTGACTTGGTACAGACATTTCCTTATGTAGAAATCGGTGGATTTAACCTGGTTTTATAGAAGTGTGTGTTATAAAAGTTCCTGGAAGTATGTTATGCATCGCTCTGATTTCTTGTCTTGATTTTATTTTTTTTTCTGGTTTTATCAGCGCTTCGACTTTTGCAGTAGGTTTTGAACTATAATTGTATGTCTTCGAGCATCACTGAAAAGTCATTCATTATGGAAATGTGCATCTTTTGTAATGAAATTGGTACCATTAATGTTATTTTACTTACTATAAAGAATTAATTTATTACAATTAAATGTAATATTTTCTTTATTTAAAAAAAACGTCGATATGTACCTGTTTGGTAAAATGACTTTATATGACTTCAGTGTCTCCTTCTGATATTGTAGTGCTGTATATGATTGGTGTATCTAATTTCCTAAATATATCAATTTTTAACTATTGATGGGCTAGCATTCGTATTTTGTTTTTAGACAATATAGGTGAACAAACTTCCTTCTGGGCCCAAATGGTCTAATGTCATTCAGACATCATAACTAGTAAAACATGTTTGTTCTGTTTCCTTATACAAATTTTTAACACTTATTGTAGGACTACACTGATTATTAAGTAATCGTCTCAAATGATTAGTCTTGTTATTTAACACTGTTTTTTTTAAATTTTAATTCTATACAATGTACTTTGCTAGGAATTTCAAAGTGTTGCCCTGGTTATAAGAAAGGCATATTTGAAATTATACCTAACTCTGAGGTAATTTTTTTGGACAGCCAACTATAAAATACCACATAAAGACGCATATTTGTAGAGAGGTTTTTAAGGAATTATGGTGCTTACAGAGAATGGCTCTTGAACTTTTTATATATAATGTATCTTGAATAGTTTAACTTTTCCATTTTAATTTCCAGAAATAATATTTTGCCAATGAAACAGTTACATAAAACAAAATTAAAAAAAAATATATTTTTCTGAAACGTTTTTTTTTCGTTGTCACAGTTGAAAATCTAGTGACAAAATATTACCTCCCCATTAAACACTGAAAACTAGATCTTCTCAATGTTTGTCCCATTTTAGCAAGTACGCTATCACTTATGGATTCAAGGGAAAACGTTCTGGTAAATAGTAAAAATAGAAATAAGTTGAAATAAAAATACACTTCCATTTAATGTTATCCTTTCCCTCCTTATGTATCAAACGACGAGAACACCAGGCTATAGAAGCTTGATGTAAAATTGGTTTAAAATGTTGATATGCGAATAAACCAACTTCAATTTATTTTCTACTGACTGTATACCTCTCTGGAACATGCTAATTATCCGTATATATATATATATATACAGCTATATCAGGGAAAGTCAGGTAAAAAATTTCAAAGGAATCGACTGATATGCAGCAGAGATTGGCACTTTTGAAATTAAGTTACTAAGCAAATTCAAACGGACCTTATCTAGATGTAAACATTGAATGTGAATAGATCGAGAAGACCGCAAATACATGTACAAAAATCGAGACGACTTTTTCTTAAAATTGTACTAAAAATAGTAAAAAGATAACTTCTTTATAAAAATAGTTATCTTTAATTTCTTAACCTGCACAGACAGACTTTTTTATATTCACGAAAATACAATATTTGTCAACTGAATGTACATGTGACAAGAGCAGACCGGTGTGCTCGATAATTTAGGTGTGAAAAAATAAGTTTATTTTGGGAAATTGGAACATGCTAAGGACTTTGTGGAACACTCCGAAAATTGGTGACCCAAAATATCTGTACATTTTGTATGTACATGATTTTTTCCAATTTTTTTATCAATATGCAGAAAAGATTGAAATTTCACAAGCTTCTAATGCAATTATCTCAACAAATACTGAACATAAAATATCGTGTATATGCATGTATATTTCTAATAACACAGTTTAACAAATAATTTCTTTAAAATGTACAATTATTATTTAGAAATAACCTTTGATCATTATCGTCACCGGCATTGTTTTATTATTGACTTTCCCGACTCTATCATAAGAAGAGTGAATTTTCTTTTGTTTCGTGCACTAGATTTCCCACTGTGTCATACATTATTTAGATTATAGAGTCTATCTTACCGTTCCGGATAAAATGATGTATTTCCATCGTACGTGTCATGTGATACAAATGTTTGCAGGTAAGGAGTTGCTGTCAGATGAATTGCAGCATTTACATTATCTATAAAAGAAATAAAGCAATTTATCAAATATATAGCAGATCTTTGAAATTATTTGCCTAAAATTGGGATGATTTTGTGCTCGACATAATGTAAAGGCATATAATCTATTAGGTTGTATGTTTATCTCTAGATGTCTATAAATTTAAATATGATTGATTTCTGAATTCCTGTCATATTAGCTCCTTTTCTAAACTATAACTAAGCGTTTATAATGCATTAAATCATAATAAATTACTTGAATAAGTTTGTTGATGCTCCATTTTTTCAGTCAGAGGTTTGCTTCTCTTTTGATTTGATATCGAAATAGAAAACAAATTAATACATTATTATCAAAAACTTGGCTAATTGTTTTTTTTTTCCTTTTTTATTATATAAACAATGAACAATTAGCAATTTGAGTTTCAGAGGGTACCATCCACATACCATCCAGTTTTCAGTACTGACATGATTTAGCGTAAATTTGAACTTCAAATCGTTAGTTATACATCATTTGAGTGTACAAAAACTCAAACAAATTTGACTGTAGCCAATTTTGTCTGTTTTGTTATGAAGATTCTTTTCGGTTTAGTGCTCTTAAATGTTTAATTCATTTGTCTTCTCTTCCAGAATTATTGGTTTCCAGTGTACTTAATAAAAGTTATTCCAGAAACAATCTTTGTGTGTACTGAAAACGGATATTTGTTTGTTTTACAAATGTATCAAAAGGCAAATAATAAAAATAATAAACTGTATTGAAATATCTGGAATTAAACAAATTTGATAAATGAGATATGACGATTCTTTATATAGGTAATGTCTCAACAACATATAGTGTTTTGTTTTTTTGTTTTTGTGTTGTCAAAAGTTATAATTGTTAAAAGCAATAATTTTGTTGAAAAAAATAGATGCCTTTCATGCAAGTTATAGATGTACCTTTTGTTTGCATAATGATTACAAATACTGTCAGACAAATGACTGCTGCACGTGACATCTTTTGGGTGCTGATATGGCACATATTAACTTTTCTGGCATATAAACTTCCTTCTTTATGCTTGCTATAAATACTCTCTTTGTGAAGGGCTTTCGGTACTTTCTATTCTATACGTTCAACTATGCTGAACGAATATTAACATAGTATACAATAATGTATTGATTAATACATTTAAATAATATAAAAACGAAGATGTGGAGTATCAATAAATTGACATGTACATTTGTGATCTGCAGGAAATATTTAAATACCGTGCATTCATTTTTCTTCTTTGGATACTAATTTTCGTATATTTCGTGGATATAGATTTACAACGAACTTAAAATTTGACGAGGTAAAAACTTCTCAAAAGCCTGTATTCCACGGAAATAAAACTTTCCTTCAATCCACGAAAATTGGTACCAAAGAAAATAAATGAATCCACAGTAGAAGAAAATGTACCGTAGAAAATTATGATATGTTGTAAATAAGCTGTATTTTATAAAGACTAGTTTGACGAATGGTCTAGGTAATTGGACAATCACAGGATTATTGCACCAAGGTTGAATATACCATCGTGAAGTCGATTGCCAATAAATGGTGAGTGTTTGGTGAATCTTTCATGCATTGCATGTATCTCGTTCATATAACAGGTTTGACTTTTTTCAAAGAACTATTACTAAGATATGTTTATATATTCTCGAAAAGCTGATAAGAATCATCGACATTCTAGAAGTCCATATTCATTTGCCAGGTTTAATCCAACATTTTCTACATAAGGAAATGCCTGTATAAAGTCAGGAAAATGACAGTTGTTTTCCATTTGTTTGATTTGTTTGAGCTTTTGATTTTGCTATTTGATAGGGGACTGTTCGTTTTGAATTTTCCTAAGAGTTCGATAGTTTTGTTATTTTACTTTTTGCTCGTTTTCAATTTCCAGTGTTTTCCAGCATATTGGGAAAAAAACAATGCATGGTATTAAATCTTTTAAAGAATTTTTCATTTTTGGAGATAACCAGGGTGTCTGAATGGAGGATCGTTATTTCCGTATTCTTAAAGCTTAAGACCATTCTTTACTTTTCTTTATATTTTGCAAATTATGTTTTATTCCTTCTATTTTCGTATTCCATTATTCTCTAATTTTTATTTTTATATTTGAGTCATTTTTCTTTGCACATATTTATCTGTCGTGTAAACTAAACCAAGACCCTCTTGTGTTATGTTCTAGCTTGATATTTATACTTTCGTGCTATTATCGTAGTAAGGCAACCAAAGATCATTTAGTAGAGACAACATAACATGAACAACATGATGGATGTACCTTTAATACTATTTATTTCATATCGGTTAAGAATTAGCTGTTCTTATTGGATTAAAAGCGGCCACATGACATTCTTTATTCTTCAGTAATAAAATTCATCGGTCATTAATAGAACAAAACTGACCAGAAAACCGGTCGTTAACGGACTTTTACATGTTAATGACCGGTGGGGAGTGGTTTCTCTGTTAATTACCGATGGGGCGTGGATTCTTTGTTTAGAGAGATGTCCCTTTAATAAAAGATTTTCCTGTTTTCAATTTTATATTTAAGTTGTTGAATTGTTTGCCATGTGTTTTCGTAAATTATGAAATTATAGAAAACTTTATTGAGTATTCATATACTGAAGCAGTGTTGTCGATTATTTTTAAGCATCTGAAGAACTTGTACCAAATTTCACATATTTGCACACTCATAATGTTTACCTGATTTTTCAGATCATTGTCAAATCTCATGCATGTTAAATTGCAACACAAAAGTATATGAAAGAAACTCAAATCTAGCTTTAATGCCAAATAAATATATCTGGGATGATAACTCAATCTCGGCATTTCAAGATGCTGTAAATTCAAATGAAATCAAAAATTGTATTAGGGAGTATAAAGAAAAAATTTACGACCAAGATTCAATCAATAATGCAGCAGAAGATTTAAATAAGATTTTCCTAAAAGCTGCAGATATATCACTAAAGAGAATTATAAGAAAACCAAAGGAAAGCAAAAAGAAGAAAATTAAAAAGAGAATGGCAAGATCAAGATATAATTATTTTAAAGCAAACTTTATATCGAAAATACAGATTAATGCAAAATCACAACACAGATCCTTATATACGAGGGTCCTTTTTTAAATGCCTGAAATCGTATCGAAAGCAAAGACGAGCAAACAAAAACGAAAATTCAATCAAGATATCATGAATAAACTTGATAATTTATATGATCCAAATCCCAAAGCCTATTGACAACTATTCGATAAAATTTAAAATATCTCAAATAATAGTCAAAACAACTCTGAGAATTAGTCAACCCATCTGAATGGCAAGAATACTTTGAAAGATTGAAAAGAATGAGTAATACAGTGATGATTTGATTAAGAAGAAACTTGAATCATTTCATGATAATAATGTTTGTAATGAACTTGATTACTTGATAACACCTGAGGAAATAGAAAAGGCAATAAAAGGTCTTGAGAATTCTAAATCAAGTGGATTTAGTATGATTTCGAATGAAATGATAACAAATAGCCAAGCTGTTTGTATCCATTTAATACAAAATCACCTCCATACACAGGTCTGGCTCTAAACATAATCCAGCAAACTACAGGGGAATAACCATTGCAGATAACATAGGCAAGATATGTAATCTAATTCTAAATAACAGATTGACAAATTTTTATAAACTAGAGATATAATTAGAAGTGAGCAAATTTGGTTTTAATAAAGGATGTCGCACAACAGACCATATGTTTGTGTTAAATGCTATCATTCAAAATTTGTGAAAAATAATTCGAAGCCTATGTATGCATGCTTTGTAGATTTTAAGCGTGCATTTGATTAAGTTTCACACCTCCACCTTTTTTATAAACTTAAACGTATAGGTGTTGGAACAAAGTTTTATGACACCATAAAATGAATGTATGGAAACACAGAAACCTGTGTAAAAATAGACCAATACAGGACAAACCTATTTAAATCAAATATAGGAGTAAGACAAGGAAATATTCTTAGTCCCTGCCTCTTAAATATATATTTAAATGATTTGCCAACCTATTTTGACCAAACATGTGACCCAAGCCCATTGAACACAGACCCCTTAAGTATTTTAATGTATGCTGATGATCTAGTTCTATTATAATCATCTGAGCAAGGACTTCAAAATTGTGTTAATAAATTATTTGAATTTACAGTAGATTGTAAAATGAGTCAACAGCAAAAAGACCAAGGTTCTTGTATTTAACAAATCAGGACGACATAAACATATAAAAATATCCTTAGGAAACCAGATTTTAGAATTTGTACAGAACTGCACATACTTAGGAATAAATTTTGCAGCATCTGGGAGCTTCCAAAAGGCAAAGAAAGAACTTTATAATAAAGGAATGAAAGCTTATTTCAAATTAAGGATGACCTTTTCAGTGGAAAGCATAAAACTTAGTACTTTATTACATATTTATAACCATACATTCCGACACATCCTGTTGTATGGATCTGAAATTTTCGGTTATATACCATATAACTTTTTATCAAAAGAAACTGATTTTTTGTACTAGAGAAAATCCATACTAAGCTTTGTAATTTTTCACTTGGAGTTAACATAAAAACATCAAATATGGCATGTAGAGGGGAACTAGGTTCACTCCCTACACTTTTTTATGTAATTATGTGTATGATTAAATAATGGATTCATCTTATGAAAGAAATTGAACCTTCAAGTATTATCCTATGGGAGGCCATAAATCTATCCCATTCTATGAACAAATCTAACCAGGAATCTTGGATAGGAAACATTAAACATATGTTTAAAGTCCTAGATTTAGACTATCTATTTGTAAACCAGTCAAACTTTAAAGAAAACCATATATCAAAAAAAGTAAAAAATTCTCTAACAATGAAATTTAAAGAAATTTGGGTAGCTAATTAAGAAAGCAATTCTGGGTAAAGCACCAATATACAGTCGGGCAACTTTATTTGATAATAAATTCAAAAAAAGACAGGCAATAATTACAATATTTAGAACTAGCTGTCGTGACCTTGAAATTGAAAGAGGGAGGTATATTGGTATAAAAGCTGAAGACAGAAAGTGAAAGCTATTTAAGAACGCAGTTGAAGATGAACTACATTTTCTTTTAAAATGTCCTGTTCTAAAAGATACAAGATCTCAACATCTGTCTTATTTAAATTATAAATTCAAACATTTTCGAAAGTTTTCTGATGAAATGAAATTTATTTCGATTCTTTCATCTGAAGATTTGTTTGTTATTTCAAATTTATCTAAATTATTGCACTCCCTCTTTGAAGAACGAAAGAAAATTCTAGAGAATATCAATGTACTTTGAAAAATAGGAAAATAAAAAAGTCGATCAGGAGTTGTCTCCCATAGGCCTAGAGCTATCAATTGATTATGAAACGTATTTTCCCCAGTTCACAGTGGCTTCCAAAATGACTTAATGTTTTGCCAATAATATTTTTTTTTATTTTTTTTTTTTTTTTTTTTTATAATTATGTTACTTTGTTTAAATGTGTATACATGTTTTTGTTTAAATGTACTTTAATCACTCTCATCATTCTAATCATTCACTGCTCATTTGATTGTATAGCTCAAATTTTGGGCACCATGATTGGTGAATAAAATATCTTGTATCTTGTATATCTTGTATCTTATTTAAAAAGAGATGTTTATAAAGTCTCTGTATCTTCGAATGTTTTCATTGTCGTTTTTTCTTCGAAACCAGGTACAAATGTACTTCGTATGTTCTTTCTTGAACCTCAATTTTGTGGGTGTCTGTAAAAGCTACATCTGGCGACGATCATATTACAAAATATCATAGACAATGGAGAGTACACACATAGCACTTCTGACCCTTTTTATTCCATCCGGGTATGAATCACGTCCTGATGATAATATCCCACTAATGTCTGCAGCAATTATCATTGTAGAGTAGGACGTGGAATTGCAAACGTATGGGTAAAGGTTACAGATTTAAAAGTTTGTGCATTAACATATGTAAATCTAAACACTAACAGAACAGGTCAACTTAAACTTAAATGTAAACAAAGTCCCGACTTCAAATGGAACTGCACTTTTTATCTACGTATATACAAACAAGTCTAAATTGAAAACAACGTTCAAATCTATGATTGCTTTGGATAAAAACCTCAATTTTTATACGTGTGCATGCAAAACTAATTTCTTGGTAGAGGGGTCTAAATACAGCACAAACAACATTTTCCAAAAGACCAAATGAGTGAAAAAGTATATTTTAACAAAACGCATTTGACTAGCAGGTCGAACAACTGATGTTCTTAAACCCTGCTGACTGCCTTTGGCGATTGCCAATAAACGGATCACAAAATGTAACAAAATAGATATATATATAACTGAACTACAACTGTGTTACATACTCGAATGCAACAATGGAAGATTTTAAATTTTGAGCATTCTGATAAGGATAAACAAATACCAATCACAGAGGTTCAGTTACTGGAGAAATATCAATGCAATCCAACAGCAACTTTTCGTTATCGTCTCAATCGGCTCGAAGGGATGTGGAAACGTATAATTGTGGATTTGGATCGTTGAGAGAAATCGGAACGGTACGATAGAAACGATATTCAACTAGTTCTAATTTTGAACCAGGACTGAAAATGTTATTTTCTGTTGAAAACATAGCGTGTAATCGTTCCGGTTCATTGATTTTAGATATGCACCAAGAACTGTTCGATTCACTTTCAACTGAAGGGGTATTTTAAAGAAGTAAAACCAATATAGCTATATGCAGCATTTAATGTTAGGAAACAAATCTTAAAGAATATTGAGGAAAAGTATGTAAAAATAGATATACAAGGCATGTTATATGCTATAAATGTTATGTGTAGTTCCAAGTCAAGAAAACGTGACAGCGACGATTGCATTTAGTTTCTAGGCGAGTTTATAGGTTGTAAATTTAGCTATGTCTGCTACAACCGGCATCCTGTATTTTTTTCCAGTACACTTTAGTGGCATTTTTGTTACAGCCAGTTGGGCCTCCATTGTGCATGCGTGCGTAATCTTCACAAGTTGTTCCACATGTTACCCCTCCATAACGATCCATATAGGTTTGAACACATCCTTTGGCACAATCATAGTCCTTTGTACACTCTTCATAACCTGCAAAACATAACTGTTATAGCTAATAAAGTAATAATAATTGATAGTTATTAATTTGCACAGTTTTAGTGCATGTTATTACGTCTGATACGAATTGCAGTGTGTATGACACGTGTTTGCATAATCTTCATCAGGCGAGTACGAGATATAAAATTTGAGACGAAGTGTTCATCAAACGTTTGGGAACATCAGAACCACACGGACATTAGCATAATAGCTATACAGTCTAACAGTATGTTTGTGAACCAGTTGCAATGGTTACCTCATGCAATTTTAGTATAACTAGTGATTACATAGTTAATTGATAAAAAATATTTCAATAAAATATATAAATGAATATTTAAATTCTAGCAGTATCGAAGTATTGGCTACGTGGCGTGATATATATGGTACATAATTTCATGAGTATGATAGTACTTATCCAAATGCATTTGCGGACTTCAAAAAAATGAAAGATCCTTGTTATTGAGAAAATATCCTAAACTATAGGGTAATAGTATACAATTGCAAAGAAATGAATATTTTGTCGCATTTAGGTGTGAACCAAGATTTAACTATTTATAAATTCAATATAACTTGGGTGGGCGTTTAGCGATAAAAGAGTTTACAATTGGAAGACCATTTAACTTGTCACATCCTAGTTAGTGACTGGTTACTTAGACCTGATTTGTACTCACTGTTGCCTGGTCTACCACAGTCAATCCAGTACACTTTCTTTATCTGAAATGGTCCACAGGAATCCGATCCGCCATCATCCGCACATCCAATTGTCTTGTCACAATTCGATTCTACCTATAAAGTTCATAGCAAATCTGTTATTCACCTAATCGAGATTTAAAGATAAAAGGTTGACATGAAAAAAATTAACCCCACTATTTGCAAAGTCAGGAACCTAATTAGCGTGTGTTGTATTTCATATGTTAATGTTTTTCGATGTTATGGAGAATTTGGGGTTAAGGCGTGTCTATGATTATTTCTGTTACATTTATTCTCCACGTCTATATTTATATAATCGGGACGATTTAAATCCTTGAAATATTGTATGGACACCTGCCTATTGTTGAAGACGGTATGTTTTCTTATAGATGTCGTTTGATTATTTTTCGTTTGATTGCTCTCCGTTACGTTTGCTCAAATTTCCTTTTAAACAAAGTAAATACTATATAAGACGATTAATTCTTTTTAGACTGACCCGCATAGTACGGTTATGATCACGAAATTGATTGATTGTAATGAGTGATTGAGCAATTGATTGACTTGCTCTTAACTTCTAGATGTAACTACTACATACATTTTCAGTACGACAACATGTTACCTTAAAATGAATAATCATCCCATTACTTTATAAGCGGGCTTGTAAAAAAATGATTTGTCGAGGAATTTCTAGTATATTCTATACTTACGTCACAAATACAGCCCAAGCAAGTGTCTGAAATTCCTGAAAGTTAAACTGGTATATTAGGGCGAAATAAAATCGAAGCTAGGAAAAAGCTTGAGAGCTTGAAAATGTAAAGGAAAGCTATTTTAAATAATTATGTTTGCATGTCAAGTAATAAGCTCCTATACATATCGATATGTTTCCATGTTGTTTTTCTTTTTCTTCTTGTAATGATTGAGATAATTGTATAAACTAATTTGCCCTTTGTTCATTCAACGACCATGTGTCCAATGCTATACGAAGAATGTGTCTTTTAATTAAAAAAAGATTAAAAATGTTTCCTGAAATTCTTACGTAACATTATTCTTTTGATAAACGTTTTCAGCAAAACAAAAATGAATGCTGATATAAAGCAACTCTATAGATGTATAATTCAATATAAAAATAAGGAGATGTGGTATGATAGCCAATGAGACAATATCTACCAAAGTCCAAATGAAGAAGATGTAAGCAATTATAGGCAACTTTACGGCCTTCGACAATGAAAAAAACCCATGCCGTATAGTCGGCTATAAAAAAAACTATTCCGTATAGTCGGCTATAAAAAAAAACATTCCGTATAGTCGGCTATAAAAGGCCCCGACATTGAAAAATATGAAACACTTCAATTGCGAAATAATTCAAGACTTATTTATTACTCGTACCGTTTTAACGAGTGTCGTGCAACATCATTTAACTTGTGCTGGCTAGGTTCAAATATTGGAATAGATTAACTTAGAAATAAAAGAGACCAGGGTAATTAATTATAGTTTTTGCTCAACATTTTGAGGACATTAACAATGACAAAGATTATATTATTTTTGCAAAAGTATAAAGACATTACTATATATTGTTTTCATGACGCATTACTAGTTTCTCCTGCCAAAATACCAAAAAAGTAGTAAGATAAATCACATATTTATTTTTCCAAGTTGTTTTTTTAATTAAAAACATCGTTCAATAGAAAACAGTTGGAGAATAAGAAAAAATATAATTTGCATAAATGTCTTTAATTACATGATAACAATTGCATCCGTCTGCAGAAATCATATTGTGCTTAGAACCTACATGTGACATTCAAAACTCACAGTTATAATTTAATGTGCTCTTTTAACTGTTTTGGAGAACCAAAATGTTATTCCTGATATCAATGATGAGTATTTGTACTGTGTCATAGGTCCTGGTTCAATACTTGTATATTGTTACAAATTATTTCTTTCTATCAAATCATTTTAAAATTTGCGAACTTCTAGAAAAACCTAGAAATTCATGTTATTTTTTTTCAAAATAAAAGCTTAACCATTTATCTGATTCTTAAATTTGTCCTCAAATATATAAAGCAGTAATTTGAAAGGAAATATAGATTTTTTTTTCACAAATCAAAGAACCTGTAATTTTGGCAAGAATGAAATGTTTGCACACGCGTTTTCAGTTTAAGCATGGATTTAGTTGAATTTTATAACGATTCATCCAATTCCCAAACATCATAAAACAAAAATTGGAAGCCCATTGGAGTTTACAGCCTGAAACAGATTGGCCTGAATAGTTTTCGCGAACGAATTCGTCTATTTCGACGATCTGTTTCTTTGAATGTATTTTGATATATAAAACATTCAACTCTCAATAGGAAAAATGTATCGCATATATCCTTAAATGAACTCCAGTTCTGATACCGGCGAAAGCTCGAACGACATAAAATATTTGTGTTTACATCGCACAGTAAGTTTTCAAACGTACAGGCGTCTTTAAATGTCCCATAATGATAATTTAAATTCGTAAACTTTTTCAGCTCCGACCAGTTGAAAACCTTTATTTTTTAAATGAGAAACATCAACAATTGTGTAACTTACCTGCAAATATCAACCCAGCATTGATAGTCAAAATTACGACCACAATTTGCAGAGAAAATTGAATTGGTAGCATCCTGAAATAAATAGTTTAGGAATGATTTACTTCAATATTTTGAAGTTTTTTAAGTTGTGATGATACAATACGCATCAGGCAATGTAATCGAATGATTATTGCACTTTGACAAAAGACAAAACAAACACACCAATAAAGCTGTTGAACAGGTAATTATAGTAAATCGTCTGTTTTTGCTACATGATTCTTTAAAACAAAATTAGGTGCGCATATGTATAATGAAATTGAAAAATAAAAGTGAAGGAAAAAATAAATACCTTCGCTATTTAATTAGATTATTTAAGATACCTTTGCTTACCTGAAGCTTACTTTATTTGCTAACTCAAAAATTTACAGCCAACTGATGAAATGTCAGTCGCAGTTTATATATACCTTTGAATAAAAAAAACAATGAACACATCAAATAAACCTATCAAAACTTGTATAAAGAAAAACATATATCCGGCAACTTGTCGTTACAAAAATGTTGTTTATCTGTTGTCTTTTCTAAATAATTAAGGCTGACAATTACATTTTAAGTTTAACATTATTTTACATAACATATTAAACATATCAAAAGGTTAATATGAGAATAGTGTACAAATAACACTTTTTATGGTGATATTTAAAATGAGATTATGTAAATCATATATTACTTTTCAATTCATGTAATTTTTTTATAAGAATTGCAGCTTAATTGTGTCACTTTCTATAATTTTCTTTTCGTTAGTTTCATTTGAAAATAAATTGAAATATTTTTCTTTAGAAAAACGTCTTGTATATTTAATCTATGAGCATGAATACATAACGTTTTATGTATAAACAGTATAATCAAAAGTCTATCACTAGGATTATGGATTTCTGGTATAATACATGTATTTATCATATACCTGTATCAAATAATACTTAAATTTTACAGTTCAATAACATTTAAAAATATTAAAAGGCTATGAAAGGATTATAAGGTTTATTAACCAGATTCCTACAAATTTCCTCTGAAGACTGATAAAGGCACCTTTATTGACTGCTTCCGGAATGTTATCCAATGCCTTTCCGTTATTGTCCGTGGGGTTTATCACATGCAACTTTGTGCATTTCCAGAAATTTCTTTGTAAACATGGCAGACGACACGGACACGGCTGCTTTTGTCGAGTCGTTGAAAAACGATAACACAGTAAGGAAAACTGCTAGTGATATGAGACTTTTTACCAAATGGTTGAGGTGCAACAACGAGATAAGGGTAGCGGTAGAAATTCCTGTTATGGAGCTAGATAAATGTTTGGCTCGTTTCTTTATGAAAGTGAAAAAAGACGACGAATCAAACTATGAACCACAATCTGTCAGATCAATGCAGAGCAGCATTTCAAGATATCTTACCGAGAAATGTGGCATTAATATAATGAGTGGCAACGAATTTCATCATTCCAGAGATGTGATGTCTGCCAAACTGAAACAACTAAAATCCATGGGAATGGGAGCCAAAAAAAGAAAAGCAGACCCCTTCACAGCTGAAGAAGTTAATATAGTATATGAAAAAGAGCTACTTGGTGCAGGTAACAATTCTTTGTATTATTATTTTTTTTGTTATTGCTTTTTCAAGTAACTTTGTCTTGTTGTTTGATTCTTTGTGACGTCACAATTTCCTCCAATAAAGCATGCATACATGTAGTACAAATTGATATGATGTAATTAAAAAATGATTTGACAATAATTTAAATTATCTTCTTTTGATATTGTACGTTCGTAAGAATATATATTATTATAACCTAATTTTATACACAAGTCTAAATCAAATATTGTTTACTGAAACAAATTTCTCAAATTTATTTGCAGTAAATCCTCAATCTCTTGTAAGAACAGTATGGATGAATAACACTTTACATTTTGATTTGCGTTCGCGGGAAGAGCATATTACTTTGAGACGGGGAGACATTCAAATGAAGGCTACTACTGATGGTCAGCAGTATCTTGAACACACTGAAAGAATAACAAAGACAAGAAATGGTGCTAACTTGGATACACATGCCTTTCAAGCCAAGATGTTTGCTGACACAGGTAATGTTTCAGAGAAATGTTTTAATGGGAGACAAAATTCAAAATAATAATTTAGATTTGTAATTAAAAAGCACACAACATAGTATACATGTATACATGTAGTGTAAATGTGTATTAAACCGACAACATCAATATAGAAATTAAGGGAAATGGGAACTCAAACAAGTGACCAACCATCTTTATCAAGATATTGCCATCACAAAACAACAGCCTGATATTATAAGTGTAACTATATATATTGTATGCATGTATATAGTAACGACATTTTAACAATCAATATTGAACTGGTTATTCTTCTTTCCGGTAATCCTAGATGTCCTATACAGACATATAAACAGTTTCTTAGAAGAAACCAGTAGATATGGTAGCAGTTGATTGTCCTTTTTATTTGGGGTTTTCCAGGCAAAAAAAGGATGACGGTGTCTGGTTTTCAAGACAAGCTTTAGGAAAGAACACTTTAAGTACTTTTGTTAAAACAATTTGTGAAGACAGTGGTATTCATGGTAGAAAAACTGATCACAGTGTCAGAAAACTACTACCACAGCCCTGGTACATGAGGACATACCTGATACACGCGTAATGCAGCTGAGTGGACATAAAAACGTTCAATCCATAAATTCCTACAGCTCAGCATCAATTTAACAACAGAAGGAAATGTCTAATATTTTGAGTAAAATTGGTACAGGGAAAATAACTTCTGATAAAAACCCAAGGCCTTTGGACGATAACAACAATGATATACCCTCAGATGATGATGCAGAACTTTTGTCTGCTTCAAAAGAAGCTGAAATTTCATATGTTTTGAAAGACATTTCAAATTTCGAGTCTAACTCTAAACAGGTTCCAGCCCAAACAACTTTAGGAATACATGAAATGCCAGAAATCGTCCATGAAAATTACAAAGGAAAAACAATGCATATGTTTTTAGGGGCAACCATTACAGGAAATGTGACAATTAATTTTTCCAACTAAGAACATAATAATTGTTGCCATATGTCACCCTGATAAATAAAATGCTTGTTATATCATTCAATAAAAACGATCAAAGTTAAGAAATTTGTATTTGGTTAACTATAAATTATTATCTTAAAGTTCAAAGAAAGACCAAATTTTAAAGGTTCTTGTCTATATTTCTTCTGTTGAAGTCTATGATAAAAGAAAATTACATGTCATTTTTTATATCATACCCTTTATCCGCCCTCTGTCATGATATCATCCCTCGAGCCTGCGGCTCTTGGGCTGATATCATGACCTTGGCCGATAAAGGGTATGATATGAAAATGTTTAAGCATGTTAAACATATATGTTCAACCTCGGGTATAAGTAGAACGTGATAATTACAAATAACAAAAACAGAAATGTAATGCCTTCACACGAAAGCAAAAACTTTTTTATGTTTTTTTTTTTTTTTTTTTTTTTTTTTTTTTTTTGCTCCTGCTGCTGCTTGGGTCAGATATGTTTTATTCACTGTGTAGTCAGTACATTTAAAAACGTTACTTGTAAAAACAAAAAAACGCTTAAGCTTTTAAAATCAAACACTTACCTTTGAAACTGTTGATTCCTTAATACCGGCTAACGAATTTGTGCCTATTTTATAGTGTTGTCATGTGTAAAAGTATATATCCAAAAAAGGTAATAAACACTTTAAAATACAAAGATCCAATGAATTGTATAATTTCGAAAGAGGTGTTTTCCCCAAATTGACTTTTATTATGGTTCTAATGAGCAATGGTTTGACATTTTACATAATTAGACAGGGAAGTCTATACAGTATAATCATCTTAGTTTTCAGAAGTGACCTTGAAAATGCATCTGATGTTTTAAAAGTATCCAGTACATGCATTGATATATAATTCTTTTTTAAATAAATCTTAGAGAGTCAGACTGTTGTAATTAAAAATGTTTAAAAAGATTAAGATATTGCATACTGAAGCAATATCGCAACACATCATTTCTTTACAATTTGAAATATACTCTTTTAACATGGTTCATTTTTTATGAGATTTATTTCTTTTTAGGGATACGAATGGCAAAATTCGTTTGTCCCTAAAACACATTTTGAAAAGATTTCCATTAAATATCGTACGAAATTTTCTTTTCACTATGAAAACTGTATATTGTTAAAAGTCCACACATGATGATCATTTTAGCATGCATAACCCACTACCTTTTATGTGGTATTTTCATAATTTTTTTTTTTTTTTTGAGAGAGAGAGAGAGGTCTTAGCTCCTTAAATAATTTTGTTTAGGAGTATCTTGCACAGAATCGTCCTGTCGTATGGTTCAACATCTTGGTTTTAAATATATCTTGAAATAAGATACTTTCAGAAAATTGTATAAATATTTTGATTGTTTACACCAATAAGACACTATCAAAATATCGATGGGGCTTGACAAATTGATTGTTAATTGATATCGCTTAAACAATCAAAAAACATTATCAATAATTCTTACAGGTATAATAGTAAATTTTACAAAATCTTGGTTAAGACAAGGAACTATTTTTTTATGTGTACCTATTTCACACAAGCACAGATATCAAATAAATATGTCAAGTGATGTTTTTCTCTTAGTTGTATAATTTTTACATGAAAACAAGTATCTGTTTTATCTTAATAATTTGTTAAGTGTTGGAGGAAGTGGTAATGTAGTATGTTGAACATGCATGTTAAATTCATATTTTTTTAATTTTCAATTATATAACCACAGTATAATAAATTATATATTTAAGTGCAGGTAAAAACATTGTAAGCTGGATTTAGCTAAAGAATTGAATGCTTTTTCTTCTCTTGTTTTATTTAGATACTGGATTGAAGGAAGGACGTTTTGTATGAAGCATAAAAGCGCTTCGAATAAGTATTTGACTGATGACATATATCGCTGTTTAATGTGGTTGCATCTCCATAAATATCAATAGATTTTGCCATTTCAAATGACAAATATTATTTTCCTAGGTTAAATCGAGTTTTTTTTCAATTAAGTCACATTTGCGTAAAGATGAACGAACACACGTCATCGTCATCATCCTTGTCCTTTTTCTTCTTCTTTTTGTTTCGTTTATATCTGTTTTCTAATTTAGATCCATAGAATCAATGCCATTTAAATTTGTATAAACAAAATACATGCTCACTCAAGTATTGTAGTGGAATATACATCATTGTACTGTTACCTAGCTGTGTCTTCCCCATTTTGCTATAAGCTAATTTAATACATTTCAATAAATTAGCATGTACTATCAAAAGGGAACTTCAGTAACAGGAACATTTATGAAAGTTTTATAAATTAATGTTTGGAAATTATTCTTACAACGCACACACAGTAATAAGAGATCATTGGGTATCATTTACACTGCTGAAAGAACTTTCAGGGACCC